GAGGATCCTAGTTTATCCTTTTCCTCCAGGGGTCACTATACTGTCACTGAGAAAGGATTAGTGTTTGGCCTCTTCCTCCAGGGTCTATGGTTTCCCAGAGCTTCACTATTTGCATATCTCCTTCCGGGATTCATTAGCAATGGGAAAGGGTGAAAGTACTGGGCCCCAGCACTTAGTATCTGCCTTCTCACTTCCAAACCATTGTAACTAGGCAGGGATCAATGTTTTGTCTTCTTCCTCCCTCCCTCTTCCCAGGTCACACTATCTTGGTGTTGCCAAAAGCTTGGTCTTTATCCCTGATGCCAATCCAATAACATGGTTTTGAGAAAAAGGAAAAAGAAGGTTTATTGCTAGAAACACAGGGGATTCCTGTCTAAAAGCCAGTGATTCTGCCCATCAGCAGGAATGGGGGGCTTTTAAAGAGGTGACTCAAAGGCTACATTCCACATGTTCTCTGTCTGGATTTGYAATTCACTTGTTTTTAATTTCAAAGGTAGTTATTTCTGAGATCTTCTGAATGACGTGGTTCCTATGGTGGGTGTGTACTCAGGAACAGACAACTCTGCCTAGAATGGGGAAGAAAGGCAATTCTGTTTTCCCTGAGATTAGGGATGGGGTGAGATTAGGGAGGAACAAGGAGAGAGTAAGAGGAAAAACAGTGTCCWTWWAWRRAAATAAGTTGCAGTGGCAGAGCAGCAAGGGTTATATTCAAAGCATAAGTAGACCACTGTTACATTGGGGGCTGTCATTTTTCATATCCTTCAGGCATGATTGACTAAATCATCAGCCATTGGGATCAACTCAWCCTTTCGATCCCTTTCCCCTTCCCTGGACTTGGGGACTGGGGCAGTAAATTACAAAGCTCTTGAGCATGGGGTTGGTTTCCCTGGCAGTCAACCCCTGCCCTAACCTCCCCACCCTCCTGCAGTGGTTATCCATAGACTTTCAAAAGAAACCTGTGGTATTGTTACCGCTGTTTACCGGTGATGAGTCCTTGCTTCCCCAATGCTGAAGTATAACACCAGAGAAGCATGCCCAGGCAAGTTTAGAGTRGGAAGTAGAAGCTTTACTAAAGAACAGCAGAAAAGACTTCTCCCCGGAGGAAGAAGGGGACCCAAGAGGTGGAATCCTTGGAAGGGGGAGGTCTTCCCTCTTTTATAGCTAAGGTTTACTTTCAGATTTCCTGCATTCCTGCCATATGCATTCTTGTCCTTTGTTCTGTTATCTTGCAGTGTTGAAATGTAGGTGGGAAGGTCCAAAAGCTGAGAGACAGATAGGCCTGAGGAGTAATCTGGGCAGGAAGGGCTTTTGGATTAGCATCTCTTTGTTTGCTGGGAGCTGCTTCATTAATATTTCCTTGGGATGGGCTCCAGGCCTTGGGGACTTTTTCAATTCCCCTTTTCCTGGACTCCATTCTCAATATGGCCTTCATTCTTGATTTTACTTGATATTAGACCTGATTTACCTAACTACACTAACTACCTATCTGTAAATCTGGCTTCACCACCAAGGCTGCTTTGTAAACTTTAAAGTCACTGTAAATTCACCCACTTATGAAAATCACCAGGTGCAYTGTTCATTAACCCAAGAGATAAATTAAGAGAGATACAACAATAGAGAGAACACTTTAAGAAACCTGTAACTGGCCCTGGTATCTTGTCTATGGCAAATGCTGGGCCAAACACAAACGGTTCCCAGTTTTTCATCTGCACTGCCAAGACTGAGTGGTTGGATGGCAAGCAGGTGGTCAAGGAAGGATGAAAGAGGGCTTGAACATTGTGGAAGCCATGGAACGCTTTGGGTCCAGGAATGGCAAGACCAGCAAGAAGATCACCATTTCCGACT